TTCTACGCAGCGCCTGCAAGTGATGTCATACAATATTTTAAATAATTTTGTGGAGGAAACAAAATTTCACGTTTATGAAATTTTCCACGGGGTGGTCACGTTGGCCTTCAGTAAGTTCAGATTTTGAGGCATTTTGGGTCTCCGATTTGGGGATTATGGATGCTCAACCTGCAGTAGAGGTGAACCTGCTCTTCCCAAGGATGTACTTGACATCTCTGGCACTTGGTGTAGACAGGCTCGTAAAACAGTCTGTTTCAGCTTTATCAACTTCTTGACTTGCTCTGGGTACTTGTCACTCAGAAGGAACCAAGAGAGGAGACCTGGCAAGCTGCCTCCTTTAGGCTGGAGTATTCTGAGGCYGGCAGGGAAGGATGGATTCACTCCAAGCCCAGGGTGGATGGCTGAGGAGAGCTGACCCACGTGCCACTCAGAAGAATGACAGGTGAACAGCTTCCCTGGAGACAGCTCTTCTCAGCCCAGATTCCAACGTACAGATCAGGGGCTCCCCTTCCCCCCAAACCCCACATTCTAGAGCCAGATACATGGGATGTATGCATTGCCTGATGGGCCAGGCTGTTTATTTCAATGCACTAGTTCATTTGTTAAATACCTATTGGTCGAGTTCCTGCTGTGTGACCAGCACCCTAATTATCAGGCATTGTGGAATTGTTCTTAACAAAATAGATCAGAACTTTCATGAATATATCCAAATCCTTCCTTTTATAACAGTCCTCACTATTAGTGGTGATGCGTATACAGTTATTCCTCAGTATCTGCTGGGGATGGCTCAAGACCCCTTAGGCCCTTAAAGGAAATGCTGTGGTATTGCCTACCGACTGTGCATGTCCTCTGTGAACTTCCGATCATCTGAAGGTTACTTCTATTATCTAATAGAATGCTTTGCACCACTTCATTCTCGTGGAGTCAGCATAGTACTCAGAGTGCGGCAAACTCAAGCTTTGCTTTGGGGAAGTTTCAGGAATTTAAAAAATATTTTCTACGTGTGGTTGTTTGGATGTGAAACTTGGAGATACAGAGGGCCAAATACATATATTTGATTGTCTTTTCCTTAAGGTCATTGTCTTTCCTATGGTTAGCGTTTAGCCACTGGAGATTTTAGTGGTCAGCCGTAGAGATTTCTTTTCCCAGACTCTTTGACAGCTCTTCAGCGGACCCAGAGATGAAAGTGGAGCATCCATGAAACGTGCTCCTTCCCTTTACTTACCCTGTGTAGTCCCCAGGTGCTTCCTGAGAATGCTGGGGCTCCTTGGAATCTAGTTGATGCCTGCATCCTTGGTAAAGGAGCTGCCATTTATTGATTGACGTCTGTACTGGCCCGTTTGATCACATGCATTAACCTCTCTGTGGATCAGCCATTGAGGTTACCTGCATCCTGAATCCTTCCATTACTTGCTTTTTTTCCTGACCCTTTTTTTTTCTCAGCAGATATATTTATTGATTTATGATTTTAGCTTCAGGTTGTTTTCTGTTACTACAACAAAATACCACAGACTGGCTAATTTACAAAGAATTTAGCTTACCATTCTGGAGGCCAGGRAGTCCAAGGACATGGCATCTGGTGAGGATCTTCTTGCAGTGTCATAACACAGTGAAGGGTATCAGGACAAGACAGAGCAATGGTGCTAGCTCAGATCTATCTTCCTCTTCCTATAAAGTCATTAATGTCATCATGGGGGCCCCACCTCCATGTACCAATCGATATATGAATTTGGGGAGTGAGTGAGTATACAGCACACAGACTCTGGGGGACACCTCCAGCCACAGCACAACCCCACCTGGCTTCTGTGCCGACACCGTGGCTTCTGTAAGACCTAACCCATCACCACCCACAGCTGTGCCTCTGTGCACGCACAGCCAGCCCCACCGGAGGAACTCACGTCCCCTGCCATCTCCAGTGCCATTCCATGCCCACTCACCCACAGTAAGGGMTGGGTCACGACAACTTTCGTCCAGGGTCATTTGTTCACTCCACACACTTATGGGTAATGCTGCTTTCTCCCAAGCCCTCCCAGAGCCTGACCCACGTTTTCCGTGGCCCATTCTGAAAGCACCAGATGAGCACATCCAGGGCACGCTTCTTCCCCYGACCCGCTGGCTCTCTGTTGGCCTGTCTGTCCACCTCCTGCCCTGCTGCCCCTGGGCGCTGGCTTTCAGGGCTTCCCCCCTGCACTCCCCTCCCTTCATCAGGTATCCTCTTCCGTTTCACTTTCTTCTCTCTAATCCTCCTGGCTCCTCATGTCCTGCATCAGATGGGAGGGTGTGAGGAGGAGGGGGGGGAGCAGAGGCTTCCCATTGAGGCTCCTGTGAAAGTGTTTCTGCCAGCCACAGAGACAGGCAGGCAGCAGGAATCCGAGAAGCTAACCTGGAGAGCCCGCAGGGGAGGGTGGTGCTGCATGGATGTTGGTGGGGGTACATTTGGTCCACACACCGGAGCGAGACGTTCCACAAGTGCAGTCCGGCAATCATTGCTCAAGGTCTTCTGAAGATGGGCCCCCACTGAAAGCTGCAATCCAATGGTTTGGCAGCAACAGGGATAGAATTGCAGCCCAGATGGAGGACATGGGAGAGAGAGCCCAGATCAGGGAGTGAGCTTGCTTTGGGTGGCAGCACTGCGGAGGCTCTGGGTAGAGGAATTGGAGACAAACTGGGGTAAAGGGCACCAGGGCGCCAAGGCTGGGAAGAAATCCTCCAACAAGAGCTCAGGCACCAGAAGTTCCAGAGACAGAGAGCAACTGGGATCGGCTTCCACCTCTTGGATGTGACAATTGTTGGCTCCTGTGATCCTCGGAAAGGGATCAGTTTCAGGGCATGGTGGGACAGAGGATACTGAGGAGTGGGGAGGTACAGCAGAGGCAAGGGGCACAGCCGACCCTTTCCAGAAGGAGAGAGACCAGGCTGGAGACAGGCCTGGGTAGGGGAGGGCAGGGGGGTTGTTGGAGAGGAGGATGAGGAGCTTGTCCTGTAAGACGTGAGCAGACACACACGACTCCTGCTTCTGTTCCCCTGACCACCAGCCCCTGGTCTCCCCAGCCTGAGCCTGTCCTGGCCGCCTCCACATCTACACATCCTCTTGAAAGCCCCCTTCCATCTTGAATGCAGGACGGTATTTCTTGTTTGCAGACTGTCCATTCCTACGGCTTCCTCGATCATGGTCAGCAGCACCACAGCGTCCCAGGCCACAGCTCAAGATCTGCCCTTGTCTGGAGAGCTCCCTCACCTGCGCTCCACAAGTCACCTGGAGAACAGAGCTCAGAGCTCAGTCGGGCAGTTTCAGGAGCCTTGGCAATTTTCATGTCCATGTCCCACTACTCTAGCTCTGTGAGGTTCTAGAACTTTCTCATCCCTAAAATGTGTGTGTGTGTGTGTGTGTGATCAAAAGCCTATCTCATAGGGCCATTGGGAACATTAAATCAATTAACAGATTAAGAACAGTCCTGGCCCAATGTCAGCTGTCATCATAGCATTACAACTTGGTTGAATTTTGCAAGGTCTCTAAAATTCCCTCCCTTTCCATTCCCTGCTCTTCAAACCCTCAGCTGCCCCCACTGTGCATATTTAAAATGGATTCCAGACTGTTGTCCCCGTCTTTATTTCCATTTCTCTCCAGGTCATCCTGTCCCCTGACCCCAGTGGTCATTAGTGTCAGGCCATTTCTTTAGGCCGCCAGTTGCTTGCAGAAGGAAGTTCAAATGCGTTAGCTGAGCAGTCAGAGGCCGTCTCGGCCCTGCCCAGCCGCACCCACACACTCTTGCAGCTCACGGCCAGCCCCTGGGTTGCTCCTGGTCCTCTCACCTCTGTTCATACATTTCCCTTTGGCCTGCCTCTGCCAATTCATGCTGTTTCTTCMATGACCAAGCCCCTCCCCACCCCAAAGCCTGTCTTGACCTCTCTGGTCCACAGTAATCCCTCTGGCTCTTGACCTCAAGGACCTCTTTTCTGGACCACTCCTTGCTGACATTCATTCATGGTGTCCCTTGGTGACCTATTAGACACTGGTCTCACATATGGGTTTTGTCTCTCCAACTCCACTGCACATCCTGAGAAGGCAAGGGAGGGGTCTTCTTGGGTTTTTTTTTCCCAACAGTACATAGCACAGCACATCATCCTCTATAGGTATAATAGTCCATTTTCTGTTGCTATAATAAAACACCTGAGACTGGGTAATTTATAAAGAATAGAAGTGTATTTGGTTCAAGGTTTTAGAAGCTGAAAAGTCCAGGAGTATGGCAGCAGCTTCTGCGAGAGTCTTCTTTCTGGTTCTAATGCAGARGGTTTCACATGGTGAGACAGAGTGATCCTGCTAGCTTGGGGTCTCTCTTCCTCTTCTTGTAAAAGCATGAATGACATTATGGGGGTCACCCCCTCATGACTTCATCTCATCCTAAAGAGCTAAAGAGCCCCATCTCTACACACTACTATCAGATGACTTTGAGGGTCAAGTTTCCAACACATGATTTATGTATGGGGGAYGCATGGAAACCAGAGAAATCAGTGTTCAGTTAATACTAACTATGATGGCATTGTGTCAGGGGGCGGTAAAACACATTTTTGTCTTTATTATTTCATTTTATTTATTCATCCATCAGTTATTTATTGGGCTCCTGTAGTGGGCCAGGCAGTAGCAGTTAGATGATAAACAAGAGAGAAGTATTCCTTCACGGAGCTTATGTTCATGTAGGGGAGAGGGAGTCTTAGAATAAACAAATTAAATATTCCAAAGAGTGGGAAAGGTTGAAAGGTTGGCTTATTTCACTAAGCATGACAGAGAAAACGTGGTGTATACACACAATGGAATATTATTCAGCTATAAAGAAGATTGATATTATGGCATTTGCCATGTTGGGTTCTTTAATGAGAATAAAGGATAAGCAGGGGAACTACCTTCATCTGATTTGAAGTCTGTATATGTACTTACAGAGGTGCCATAGCTGGTGGCAGCCTGGTGTGGAATGAACCCTAAAGTTCATTTTCCCTTACAGACTGTGTGTCTTACTCCGCCTTACAAGTCCTGWCCAGAAGGTGCTACGGGAAGCAGAGATGCAAAATCCCCGTCAACAATCACCATTTCGGAAGCCCCTGCCTGCCAGGAGTGAAGAAATACCTCACAGTTACCTACGCATGCGGTAAGAATGAACCCTGACCCAGCTACTCCAAGACGCTGCCTCTTTGGGAGGTGACGATTGTGTCAACCAAAGGAGTTTGCATGGAGCCAAGGAGCGAAAGGACTCCACTTCTGAGACAGCGTGGCCATCCAGACGTTCCAGACCCCCTCTCTAGTCCTGATTCTTGTTTATGGCATTCACATCAGATAAGTCATAGAATTTTCTTTGGTCAGAGTTTAAGGTCGTAGCAATCTGATTGGCAGGAGGTGGGGGTAGGAGAAGGACTAGCAAGGAGAGAGAACGCRGAAGTCACCGGGAACAGCGATTGCAATCTGGGTTCTTACGCAGCTTGAAAATTTATTGGTGTGTCATGCAAGTTCACCCAAGAATGGCCTGGCTCCTACTTAACCTTCTAGAGCTGCTCTGGGGCCCGAAATGACTAACTGTCTGTGCTGCCAACAGCTCTTTTATCTACGTACCCTCAGCACTGAGTCAACAGATCAAATGCTTACCCCGAATCAATTAAAAGGGTGGTATGACAGCATTACTTTGTTTTTCTAGTGTCTTTAAATAATAGAATGAAACRCTTGCTTTGTTTAGATTCTAATTCCATAAAACTACTTAAAAGCCAGCCGTTCATTATTCTTCTTAGGGAACTGTAGATCTCTACTTTGTAAGATTTTTTTTACTTTGTTGATTTTTTTTAAAATGAGCACAAAGCAAAGGAAAGAAAAGAGTTCTCTAAAGAAGAGCTTGATACCTTTTTCCCCTGACAAATATCTCCAGCCTTGTGTGGTTGTTACTCCTGATACAGCTTTATTGAGATGTAAYGCCCAAGCCACACGATTCACTCATTCAAACATACAAATCACTGGTTTTTAGTAGGTACATGGAATTGTGCAACCATCACCACAAACAATTTAAGAACATTCTGATCACCCCCAAAGAAATGCCATGCCCTTACTCAGTCAGTGCCCCACCCCACCACCACCCCACCACTCCCCCGAATCTACCCTTACACCCCTGAACCCCGGGCTGCCACCTGTCTGCTTTCGAGTCATACAGTGTGTGACCTTTGGTGTGTATTTTCACAGTTCAAGCATGCTGGAGCATGTGGCAGTGCTGCATTCCTTTTTGTGGCTGGTAAAACCCCCTTGCATCTCCAGACTTCTATATGCTGAACTAAAATATTCTTTCTCTAGTGTCCAGGCCACAATAGGTACAATGACATGACTAGATAAGTGTATTCCCCAAATAGTAGCACCCACATTTGCTACAGGAGGGCTGCTTTGGCTGGCTCAGTCTTTTTTCCTGCACCACATCTAAAACGCTCTGGGTGACCTGGAGCCCTTCCTGGCTGAGGTTCCCTGAAGCTCAACATTTGTCGCTCGGAGGTCCCAGACCTGCGGGCCTCCTCAGCTGGGTCTGAGTGAGGARCGGGGCTTGAGCCTGCCAATGAGGTGACTTTTCCAGTGTGCTTTCAAGCCAGGAGCAGCAGATTCTGCCGGCCTGTTCTGCTAGGGCTGTGGCTCCCCTTAGCTCCTACCAAAAAGATGAGCTGAACTTCAGGACCCRGGGTGGGGCTGTGGGCGGGGTGTCACATGTCCCATTCTGCACATCCCGTGTGCCTTCTCTGTAGCCCAGAGCTGTGCCAGGTGCTAAGGGTTCAGTGGCAAACAAAGCACATGGTCCTCGTCCTCATGAGATTGGCAGTCAGGGAAGAGGTAGGCATCAAGGGACTCACCAGAATCTGCGGGTGTGAGCGTCTGTACGTCCGATCGCTGGCCTTCATCAGGCATGAACCGCTGCTCTGTGGCTCAGCTCTGTGGCTGAGTTCTTGGGTCAGAGAGGGACAGGAGAGTGCTGCTTCAGGCTCACCTTTATTCATGCCATGCGTGTTTATTGCGTGAGTGACATGCCAGGCATGGAGGTGGGGGCTAGAGTGGAAATGGGGGTTCTATGTTATGGCTCCATGAAGAGCACTCAGGGAGACTCCAGTGGTCAGGAGGGCTTCCCAGGGGGTRTGGTATCTGAGGCAGGTGTGAGCATGTGTCAGGGGGAGTCTGCAGAGTGAAAGGGGGAGAAGGRAAGGGAAGGGCAGGGTAGGCAGAAGGCAGGGCATAGACAAAGCCTGGGGGGTGAGCTCCAGCCTACATGGGGGGATGGGAAGTTCAAGTGTGTTGTACTTGACGGCACTGAGAACCCCTGAAAGGTTTTCTCACAGAGCACAAGGAACTTGCATTTTAGAAAGAATATTCCTCCCCGTTTGATAGCATCATTTCCTCGTGGCTCCACATTTCCGCCCTGCATCTGGGCTGGGTGGTTGACATCAGCACTGTCACATGCCCTGGGGGGAGCGCCTGGGCTGCGCAGCCTTCTGCAGTTCCCATGACAGCAGCTGGTCTGGCTGACGTCAGGGCACTCAGAGCTCAGAGCATGTGGGTATTGATTGGATTTGGAGACACGTCATTCCAGTCCTTATCTTTAAAGTGCTGCAATATGAGGTCCTCACTCTGTATTTGTACCATTAACTAAACTGATTAGAGAAGCTGGATTTTGGGCTGTCCCAGTGGGAAGGCAGACCTGTGTGGCTCAGCCAGCTCCCCGACCCCCGCTCCTCTCTGCACGGAGGGCTCCTTCCCATCACACAGGCCCTGGGTCCTCCTGTGGTCCAAGGGTCACCAGGGCAGACACTGCCGGCATCCCCACCCTGACAATTTCCTGGGGCCCCACAGCTCCTCCTGGAGGACTGGGGAGAGGACAGTGGGCACCGTTTAAACGCCCACATACCGACCATCTGGGCACCCCATAGTCTACGGTTACATCAAACCATTTTTGTCTCTGATGTTAAGAATTATTTGAGGTCCTAAGTTCAACTTATGGAGATTTCTTTCTTAAAGTCTGCACTGATCCAAGTTTGACACAGTAGGTTTATTTAGTCAGTCAATCAACCTATCAGTTGATCAAGAAGAGGGTCTTGCCCAAATTCAGCAAACCATTCACGTCCCTTAGAGTCTGGCTTCAGGCACACAGATTCAAGAGGGACTTCCTGAGGGGGAATCACTTTGCCATCTTTATAATCCTTTAAAATAATCTTGGATCCAATTCCCAAAGGCTGGATGTGCCAGGGACAGTCTATCACGGTGGAGAGAGTGAGGGTGTTGTGTGAACCACACCAGGAGTGGAGGCTTTGCCCTTCCTGGGGGGTGGTGCCTCTTAGAGCCCCCGCTTTCTGTCTTTAGAAAGGGAACAATACACGTCTTTGCCAGGCTACTAGATGCATCGTTTAACCTTTGCACAACAGGGTCCAGCCATATTAGGCACTCCATCAGAGCACTTTGCTGGTGTTTTCATGAACCTACCTGAAGTGGAGAGGAGCAGGTTTGAGAGATGATAATAAATCACACCCCAGTGCCTGCTCCTGTCCTGAACTGGTTTGAAGAATCCGACAGGTGTGTTGACACCTGTTATTTAAATGTCCTAAACTATTCTTTCAATATCAGAGCCATTTTTTTACATACTAAATGAGCAAGTTTCCTGCCATGACCTGTGTCAGACACAGGCGATGCTATCCCTTGAGTCTGGTTATCCTGCAGAGCTCTTTCTAGAATGCCCTTCCTCTCTGACTCCTCTATAAAATTCTTTTTTTTATAATTGATTTTATTTTTTAAATATACGACAGTGGAATGTATTGCAATTCTTATTATACATATAGAGCACGATTTTTCATATCTTTGTATATAAAGTATGTTCATATCAATTCATGTCTTCATATATGTACTTTTTTGGGTTTTTTTGCATTACAAATTCTTATTACACAAATATACCACAATTTTTCATATCTCTGTATATCAAGTATGTTGAAGACCCAGTTAGTGTCTTCATGCTTGTACTTTGGATAATGCTGTCCATCACATTCCACCATCCTTGCTAATCCCCTGCCCACTCCTTTTCCCTCATACCCCTCTGCCCTATGTAGAATTCATCTATTCCTCCCATGCTCTCCCTCCCTACCCTACTATGAGTCAGTCACCTTGTATCAGAGAAAACATTCAGCATTTGGTTTTGGGGGATTGGCTAACTTCACTTAGCATTATCTTCTCCAATGCCATCCATTTATCTGCATATGCCAAGATTTTATTCTCTTTTATTGCTAAGTAAAATTCCATTGTGTATATATGCCACATTTTTTAATCCATTCATCCACTGAAGGGCATCTAGGTTGGCTCCACAGTTTAGCTATTATGAATTGGGCTGCAATAAACATTGATGTGGCTGTGTCCCTGTAGTATGTTGTTTTTAAGTTTCTGGGGGTATAGACCCAGGAGAGGGATAGCTGGGTCAAATGATGGTTCCATTCCCAGATTTCCAAGGAATCTCCATACTGCTTTCCATATTGGCTGCACCAATTTGCATTCCCACCAGCAGTGTATGGGTGTACCTTTTCCCCCACATCCTCGCCAACACTTATTGCTGTTTGTCTTCATAATAGCTACCATTCTGACTGGAGTGAGATGAGATCTTAGAGTAGTTTTGATTTKCATCCTCTATAAAATTCTTGATCTTTCATGCCTGTAAAGTCTCTGGCATTTGCAGAGAGCCAAGGGCTCCCAGGGCCACATTTGCAGAATGAGCCAAGAGAGAGGTGTGAGAAGGAAGTGCCACTCCTGGCAGGGAGAAATGACATGTCCTGACTTACTGGTGCCAGGGAACCAGGAACATCATTCTCAGGACCCAGAAAGGAGTGAGAGGTTGTTTGATTAGAAAGCTCCTTGTGCTGGGCACGATGGCCCACACTTGTAATCCCAGTGGCTCAGGCTGCTGAGGCAGGAGTATCACGAGTTCAAAGGCAGCCTCAGCAAAAGCAAGGCACTAAGCGACTCAGTGAGACCCTATCTCTAAATAAAATACAAAATAGGACTGGGGATGGGGCTCAGTGGTCAAGTGCCCCTGAGTTCAATCCCCAGTTCTGGGGGGAAAAAAAAAGAAAGAAAGCTCCCCCTGGCAGCCCAGCTCAGCTCTCCAGGCACTGCCACGGTCCCAGGATGGGCAGTGTGCCCTGCATCTTCTCTGGGTCTCTTCAGAACTTGACCTCACTGGTGGGCACGACGGTGCCAGGGCCTCCTGCTCATGGAGAGCTCCCAATTTAGGCATGTTCTCTGGTTGGTGATCCTGGGACATCCCCAGAAGAATTTAGTTAAGCTCTCCGAGAACGGAAATGAAGTTTTCTCGCTGCCGAAGATGTCTTAGGCATTCTTTTTAAAAAGCAACGCAGTCGAACTTGCAGTTTGTGTTGGCTTCACTTCTATTTCCTGTTAGCACTTATCCCAGATATCAGCTGGGCAAAAGGACAAATAGAAAGAAGCAATTTTCTGCTGCCAGACTATTTGGTTTCCTCCGCCCTCTCTGGGCCTGTGGCAGGCAGTGCACTTGGCCTAAAAATAATTATTGGTCATGTTCTTCTGTGTTCTTTAGTTCTGACTGTGCTTTCTACCAGGCTCTGCATCTCTGACCCTCTGATCCCATGAACACCTGGTCCCCCTGAAATGGGGACCTGAGAAATCCATGCTGTGCTCTGTTTCAGCCTCTGCTGTCATCTGCCAGCCTGGGGATCCTGCTGTCTGACCACTTATTCTTATGGTCAGTTCAGCGGAATCTTTAACCACCTCCAGAGGTGTCTATGGGGCTGCCTTCCTCTCGTCTCTCTGTAATCCTCTTATCCTACTTAGTGAATCACTTTGGCATGGAGTCCTGGAATTCTCTTCACGTTCATTGAGGATGCAGGGAGCCACTAATCTAACTTCTATCACTAGATTTACTTTTTCTGAATATTTCATGTAAATGCAAGCACATGATACGTGATCTTTTGTGAATGGCTTCTTCCACTGAGCATGTTCTTGAGGTTCAAAACATGTATCACTACTTAATTCTTTTTATCATTAGGTTGTATTCCATGGGATGAATATATTTATTTTCCACCTTTTTATTAATGAAAAAATGGATCTAAAATTTCACCTTTCTGGGATATTTGGTGATTACTCAAGCACCATTGGTGTGTGTGTGTGTGTGTGTGTGTGTGTGTGTGTGTATGTGTATGAAAGAGAGAGAGAATGGATGTGTGTCCATGTGTGCATCTGACAAGCAGTGATTCTTGAACCGATCTGAATAGTGGATTTTAAATATTATCTACCTTAAACATATATTAAGTGTATAAGTTTTAAAAATATACCAAGTATATAAATATTTCTTTTTGGCTTTTAGTTCCCAAGAACATCCTTACTGCGATCGATCCAGCCATTGTTAACCTCAAGCCTTCTTTGAAGCAGAAGGATGCTGAACATGGTAATGTTGGTGGCTTACTTCTCGCCCTGATCTTGAAGTGAAGGTAGAGAACCCCATGACCACCACCATGCACACATTGCCCAGAGTGACAGAGGACATCAGGAGGTGTTTTGAGCTACTTACTCTGGTAATGCCGGTACTGGAGTCTAATGGTGCAGACAGCAGCCAGCATTTGGTTTGGTTTTGATTTTATAAAAGTATTAAGTAGAATAAACTTCCCCTCCATTCCCCTTTTGCTTCCTAAAAGAAAAGCCACTTTGAACAAGGATCTGCTCAGATGTACATTAGATTATACATTGAGCCCATTCGTGGTCAGCAAAGATGATGCTGTTGGGAACTCGGGTGGCCAGGGCCAGGTAGGACCTACAGCCTCCACACACACCACCTTCCTCCTTCCGTTTTCCCTGGATTTCTGTCAATAAGGAGGGATGGAAATCTTGATTTTTGTGTCAAATCTAGAATGGATTTCAGACCCAAGGGGTTCCTGARAGAAACTGCATAGAATAGGAAGCACCTCAGATGCTGGGTTTGGGGTAGTGAGTGTGTTATTTYATTATATTTATTAGGTATTTCCCCTTAAGTATAAAAGTACCCATGTCCCTCTGTGTCTGTGGGGAACTGGTTCCAGAACCCTCCACAGATAATCAAAACCAGCAGGAGCTCAAGGTCCTTATACAAAATGGAGTAGTGTTGCATGTGACCTACTCACATCCCCCTGCATATTTTAAAAGATCTCTAGGTTAATTATAATACCCAATAAGATGTCAGTGCTATGTAAATAGTTGCTATATTATATTTTTTTAGGGAAATGTGCCAAGGAAAAAAATCTGTACATGTTCAGTATAGATGCGATTTTGGGGGGAATATTTTTGATCTGTGGTTGGTTGAATCCACAGATGCAGACCCCCTCAGATAGAGAGGGCTAACTGTATAATTTGCTTTTTCAAATGCCTTTATTTTATTTATTAATTTTTATGTGGGATCGAACCCAGTGCCTCAAGCATGCTAGGCAAGTGCTTTGCCACTGAGCCACAACCCAACCCTATAATTTGCCTTTATATAAACTTCTTGCTATGAAAAACACAGGAAAACACCAAGAAACAGAAATCACCCCTAGTTCAAAGCTTAAAAATAATTACTGGTCATGTTCTTCTGTGTTCTTTAGTTCACRACTCTGCTTTCTGCCAGGCTCTGCATCTCAGACCCACTGATCCCATGAATACCTGGTCGCCCCGCAGAGGGGACCTGAGAAATCCATGTCATCTTTCTCATAGACATCTGCCCTGTCTGATGTTCTCAGGGGTCCCCTGAGCCCCCAGACTGCCCCAGCACCAGCTGGTTAACTCATCCAGGCAGTTTCAACAGCATGGACACAGGCCACCCTCCCCCATTCTTCTGTGAGCTCCAAAAAAGCAGACCTACAGTGTCTGCCCCCAGGATCCAAGGTTTGTCTTATCTCTGGTCCACAGAGCAGGCAGCAGGTCCATGGTTAACACAGATGTTATCTATTAAGCCTCCCAGAGGCACAATGAATGCCATTGCCCTTGAGAAGGAAAGATGGATTTGTTCTCTTCTGCACTGGAGTGGATGAGCCACACCTGAATTTGGCGCTGACACTTGTTAAAAAGGGATTTGCTAATCCCTTTTATCGMTCAGTATTTTCAGGACTGCTTACTGCGCACTCTTAATGGCTTCATTGTCCATCATATAGCAAGAGGCTCATTTGTTTGATTTTGGTGAGTTTTAATTATTCTGGTAGTCCAGGACAAGGAATGGCAGGGGTACTATGAACAGCTCTGATGAACTTCTTTTGTACTTTTTTTTTTAATTTATAAAACAGGTATAAACTTCGACCCAAGTGAGTCAAAAGTTCTGTGGAAAGATGGAGTGATTGTTAGCAACTCTCTGGCAGCGTTTGCTTACATTAGAGGTAGGTCATGGACTCAAAGCCTCCTGGAATGCTAACAGATTTACTAAAGCCTTGTTAACAAGTGAACCATTCAATGGAAACACTCAGGTAAAATGACWTTTAGTTGGACATGGCAACGGCCGAGCTCTGAGATCCAGAAACCCGAATTCAAGTACAGCTGCAACCAGGCCACGGGCCAGAGAACCACAGATAGAATTGCTCTGTTTAGGGGCTGGGCTCCTCAGGGTTTCCCCCCTGAAAAGCTGGAATGCATTTCCCAGGTCTAAAATTTGGGAAGGGCGTGGGATTATTGAATTCCACCCCAACTGGAAGAAAAAAGGATGGAACCTCTTAAGTAAACAAAACAAGCCATGCCCCACGAAGACAGAGTCACTTTCCGAGTTGAGTGTCATTTCTCGTGGTTGCCATGGTTTCCTTTGTTAATCTTCCCCACAAGGAGCAATCAGACTCAGTCCTCCTGAACTGCAGGGCCAGAAGGATTGCGCCCAGCCTGGCCACGTTGCAGATCCTCTTTGGRGAGGTACCAACAATCTTTGCCACCTTCCCTGCTTAGCTTACGACAGATAGTAATTTGAAATGTTGATCCRAGTTTCAACAGTGCCTGCCTGCCTGGTCAGGGGGGTTATAATCGTCAGCTTTCCATTGCTCTAACTGAATATATGACACTTACTAAGTAAAGGGAGGTTTTCTTTGGCTCAGAGTTCTGGAGSCTTAAGTCCAAAACCAGGTAGCCCTATTGGTGGGGCCTCTGGCACATCATGATTATTGGGGCACCTGACATACTGAGCRGTCACATCTTGAATTAGAGCAGAGAGGAAGAGACCAGGGTTCCACARTCCCCTCTAARTGCATGCCCCGAGTGGCCTAAGGCCCTTCTGCTAGGTCCACAGCACTTTCACAGAGTACCGCTCTGGGGACCCAACTTTTACACACGAACTTTAGAGGGACACTTATGCAAACCATATCAGAGGCCAAAGCCTGAGACCCTCAGTAAAATACACATTAATATAATGCATGATGTTCTTCCTATCAAGGCCGACGGGGCTGGGACTGGGTTTGGATCACTCTTCTTCAGAGGGAGATAAGGCTTGAGGAAGCATTTTTAGTACAGGAGAGAGAGAGAGAGAGAGAGAGAGAGAGCGTGAGCGAGCTTGGTCCTGCCGCTCTTCCTCCATGGTCTCTCCAGAGCACCCCTCCTCCTGTGGGTTTGTCATGTGGTGACTGGTTTCTTTCTTTTTTATAACCACCCTACCCTTTCCACGTCTTGCCATTCTGAGAACTGTTACGGTTAAGACACAGAAAGATGGTCATTGTCAGAAATATCTCCRGGTTTTCAAAGTCCCTTGGAGAAAAGGCATCATGAGGTTCCTTCAATCAGAACAAGGGGGAAGAGAAGGGGAAGGACTCACGGACTGAGCTGCCGCCGTGCCCTGAGCTCTGCTGCGGGCCTCGTTTCCCTCGTGACTGCCTGCGTCTGCTCAGGCTGCCATAACCGGAGGCCACAGACCCGGGCTTCAACCAGGGATGCTTATCTTTCACAGTTCTGGAGGATGGAAGTCCATGATCAAGATGGCAGCAGATTCGATTTCTTCCTGACTTGTAGACAGCTGCCGTCTGGCTATGTCCTCCCGAGGCAGAGAGAGGGAGAGGGACATAGAATGACAGTGATGGGGGCTTGGATCTTCCTCTTGTAAAACCACCAGCCTTACCAGATTAGCGCCCCACCCCTCCATCTCCTTTTAACCTTAATTCCCTCCTAAAGCCCCGTCTCCAAATACCCGTCACATGAAGGTGGGGCTTCATAAATGAACTTGGGAGGACAAAGTTCAGTCCATAGCAACAAAGCCCAGAGATGGGGCTCTGACCCCCCAACTCTGCACTTCAGAAGCTGAGGGTCAGAGGAGCTGAGCCATGGACAGCGCCAGCCCCAGGATCCCAGGATCAGCAACAAAGCCATCGCTCCGTCTTCCCTGAGCCGAGAGGTGTGCCCTTAACATTTGGAGGCCCAGGGCCTTTCTGACCTTGAGATATCAAAGTTCTCGAAATTCTCTCCAATCCTGTCCGCCGTCTCACATCTTGCTCCCAGAAATCACAGACTTTTTTCCATAGTGCCCGTCCCCCCTTGAGACACTTAGCTCCTTAAAGGCAGAGTATGTCATCTTGTTTGCTGTCAGGTCCTGGTATCTAGGACAGCGCTGGCACTGAGGAGCACAGTTAGCAAGTGACATTATGATTTCTCCTGTGACTTGTTACCTCCCAGAATTCACTATTTGTAGATATTTTTTTTTTTAAATGTGAAGACTCGATGGGCTGATATTTGGCTTTATTGGGGATGTCTGGGTACCTTCATCTCCGTGAGCTATGACCAATCCTGGGTTCGCTGTCCAGGGGAAAATGACTCTAAATGCTTCAGGCTGGACCCTGGCTAGATGGAGTCAYACAGGATTCTCATGACTCAAGTCACAGAGGCTCACAGAGGAAGAAATGCCTCCAGGTCTGCCTGTGTCCCTCTGCAGGTAGCCACTTGCATGTGACAGCACAAGGTGCTTGGTCAGCGGTCCACAGGGCAGCTCTCACCAGAGGTGTCAGACAGGCAATTCCAACCTAACCAGGCAGTGGCCCCAGCAAATATCAAACAATGCAGGCGTCAGCCTCGTCACTCCTGGAAAGAGGGGACCAGCCAACCCTCAGGCGTACCTTCATCATCTGAGGTCACAGAGGTATGMGGTGAGGAGTGGACAGAGGTCCCTGAAGGAGAGCCCAGTGGCAGGAGCATCTGGGGACAAAAGCATGACTTGGGCTGTTTCTGGGCCCAAATCTGCCAAGTAGTTGGTAAATTGGATCCAGAAGGATGTTTCCTACCTTCTTGTAGGTCAGGCCATGAGGAGCTTCAACACTTAGTGCAATCAAGTGTACGTGGGACAAGAAGAAACCAACTGAGGGGCACGTCCTGTGGGGGGAACACAGAGGTCAGGAAAAGGGACATGAAAATACTCAGGGGTCCCTGACAACTAGTTTCTCCCACGCCTACTTGAGTGATCAGTGAGGTGTCTCTCCCAACTCAGAAGGTTTTGAAATTAGAGGAACGGCAAGGAGTGTGTGTGTGTGTGTGTGTGTGTGTGTGTGTGTGAGAGAGAGAGAGAGAGAGAGAGAGAGGCGGGGAGAAGAGAGAGAGAGAGAAATATCAAGATTTTCTTAGGAAGGCAGTTTCCTAGCTGTCTCCATATGAGCTACTAGTCCCTGGCAGATTGTACTGGAGGGGACTTTATGTAAGTCCCATCTCACCTCAGAACATGACCCCKCCCATTGCCAATTAGTCACTAACCTCGTTAGTGTTTCTTTGCACCTGGCTCTGTGTGGCCGCCCCGTGGATGCCTGCAGACCTCTTTGTGGTCCGGTATTCACATCCCTGCCCACCCTGGGACTGTGATGAGCAGGTGCCTTCCGCCCTCCCGCAGACCCTGCTGTGGACTGGAGAGTCCTGGGGGTAACTGGGGCCACAGGTAAAGAAGCAGAGCCAGCGCTGGGGACAGGCTCACAGTGACCCCTGACTGGGGGGCATCATTGTCTCCTGTGAAAGGAACTCTAGGGCTCAGACAAACCCAGGGAAAGAAGTTGAATCACACATTGCAAAGTCGCTGTCATGGGTCCCCTGCCAGGGAGGACCAGTGGAGATCAGCCATCTTGTCACATAGGTACAGGCTCTGACGTGTCCTCACGGTTTCCAATCTTTGGTTCCATGACAGAAAGTTCCTGACACATCCCTAAGTGCTGTCAGCGAGGCCAAAGGACATTGGCTTGCCCTCAGAAGACCCTGGCCCTGGCTGCTGCCTGGGTCCTCTGGTGTCAGTAGGTCCCCAGGAGGTGGCTCCTGTGTATCTTATCTGGACCGAAATAAATTTGAACTGTTGCTTGTGTTGGTCCCAGACCAGGATCTAAGAATTAAAAGGGGACTTAAAGGCCACCAACCCCTGTTCTGAGGCTCCCGAGAGCACACTACAGACAGAGGATAAAGTGAGTCCTTTGCTCTAGCCTGTGATGAACCAAGGTGACATTTAGGACAATACCAACGAAACACRGTGTGAAGATTCTACTCAACCACAAGAAGACGGGTGACTTTACTTTCCAGAACATGTGATAGAAAAGGGGTCCCAGACRACTAATGTGGTCCAATTGGTTCTAGAAAACAGGATGTGCTTATCGCACAAAGCCTGGGGCTCTGTAGACAACCGTGGTCTGAGTCTGGGGTCCCAACTAGAGGTGGCTTTGGACAAGTGACTCGGCCACAACAGGAGGGATTTGGCCAGCTCATCTCTAAGATTCCGTGGGACTACCAGYCTTCAAGAATAGGAGCCTTCAAACCAGTCCATGCAGGTGACTGGGCAGCCCCTTCCCAGGGGCTTGCCAAGGGTGACCCATCCTCTCCATCTTTGGCCACTGGATCCCAGTGGACTTGATGTGGACTTGCCCAGGAGAGTGGTCACRTGGCAGAAGGTGCATCTAAGTCAAGAGACACTAGGTCTATGGTATGAAGCTGTCTTAGCAGTAGAACCCAGACCCCACCACCCAGGAGAAAAGGAAGAAGAGGAACTAACTATGGAGCCCCATCCTCAGGCAGCAAGCCTAGTGCTGTGTAACCTGTGGTCACCTCCTCACCCCTCCAGGTGGGCTCTAGCCATCTGGCCTATCTAATTCCATCATTTCTCAAAGGCCCCACCCCTGAGCACCATAGTCAAGTAAATGCCTCGCAGTGGGATTATATTTCACACATGGGCTTTGGGCACACTTAGACTGTGTCTAAACCGTACAGGAGGCAAGAATGGAATTGGGGAAGATGAGGCTGTGATTTGCACGAAGAGAGGGGAAAGATTTGTCAGCTGGCTCAGAGCCTCAGGTCCTGGCATCTTGTCTCTTACTGTGCAATGACTTCATTTCAAGTGCCAGTGTCTCCAAATGTCCATTGAGATGCACTGAGGAAATGCAGGGGGAATCAAAGTGTACCCCACAAGGAGCCCCCTGTTGAAGTTCTGGGTTCCAGTCTGAAGAGGCCACTGGCTTTTGATGGCAGCTTCCCCTCTGGGTCCCAGCTGTAGTATCTGCATCAGAGGTCAGCAAACTGTGGCCCACAGCCCAAATCTACTAATAAAGTTTTATTGGGATAGTGGTGCCTTCTACTTTACACACTATGGTTGTTTTTGTCTTACTACAACAGAGGTTGGTATGTGCAATGGAGATCATATGGCCCATGAAAACTAAAATATTTACTGTCTGATCATTTACTGGAAAAGTTTGTYGACTCCAGATCCATAATATGAAGGAGTTTACTTGTATCCAGAATGGAAGTGCCCACACCCCAAGGGGTAGACACCATAGAGAGGGTGATAGTAAAATAAGTGAATTAGTCCTCCCTACACTGGCCTTACGCAAGGACTAAGCATCGTAAGGGTTTAGACCAAGATATATAGAACTTAGTTGCATTATTTTTTATTTCTATTACTACATGGAAGGTCCATTTGGATGCAGGAAAAATTACTAGAATTTCTATTTTTTTTTTTGACCTAAAAAGAAAGGAATTAAGTTTGGCAAACATCTATAATATTATTACTTAAGTTCCTATCTGAATGAACTTAAGAAGTCATTTGTACTTCAGACAAAAATTAATTCTTCATAGTCTACCACTAATAACAGCTAACACTTTATTGAACATTTGCTACACACCCGTGAGTATTTCTGGAGCTTCATAGGAATGAACCTATTTCATCATAACAACGCTATAATAAGAAAGTACTTGTTAGCCCCATTGTTCAGGTGAGGAAACTGAGGCCCAGAGAGGTTATACAACTCGCTCAAAATCACACATCTAATGAGTGGCAGGTCCGTGTTTAAATTCAGGGGGATCTGGCTCCAGAAAGCTCCTGAGTCCCTCTTCATGTGTCCCCTCATGCACATACACATGTGCCGGTACTCAACATTTTTTTTCTTTTTGACCACCGAGGGATAGGATCCCCGGGGTGGTGCCAGAGGTGCGGTCGAGGGTTGGTGTTCTTCACTAGCTGCCTGCCCGGGCAGACATCGGGTTCTGTGGGATTTGGGCTGGTGAAGACATCTCCCAACTCCTCACTTCTTCTCTCCTCCACAGCCCACCCTGAGAGAGCAGCCCTTCTGTTTGTGTCCAGTGTCTGCATTGGCCTGAGCCTCACCTTATGTGCCTTGGTCATCAGAGTGTCCTGCACCAAAGACTTTCAGGAGCTGCAGCTGGGGAGGGAGCGCCTGGTGCCGGGAGGCGACAGWCCTGGGGCGGACAGCGAAGAGGAAGCAGAGGAGGAGGACTCCTCCGGCTCGGAGTTCCCAGGGGAGCTGGCGGGGTTCTGCAGGACTTCATACCCAGCCTACAGCTCCGTAGAGGCTGCAGAGCTGGCCGAGAGGATTGAGCGCCGGGAGCAGATCATTCAGGAAATATGGATGAACAGTGGCTTGGACACGTCCCTCCCGAGGAACATGAGCCACTTCTACTGAAATCCGTCTGCCTCTCAATGAGACCACACTTCCCGAAGAGGGAAGGATCCAAGATGCCCCTCCAGTCCTGTCTCATTTATACCTTCTGTGAAGGAGACTTTTCCATGGCATCCAAGACTGGTGAAGCCAGAAAGCCATCAAAGGGACATTTCAGATTGTTTACAGCACCCCAAAATAAATTAGGAGGGGAGAAGTCTTTGTGTTCCGTACTTATTTGAGTTTGTGTCTATCATTAACAAGTCTGTGTGGAAACAGGGCTCACATTTACTGAGCACTTACAGTGACAGGTACTGCCCTACCTGTTGTTCGCTGAATAAGTATATTTACAAYAACTTCACGAGATAGTAACATTATCCCCATTTTACATATGAATAAGCAGAAGATCCACAGATATCAGTTTAAAAATCTATACTGATACTCAGTACAGCAAATGAGCTCATGAGTGCTTTGAATTCCTAACATTATTTATTTAGAGCAGGGATTGGTAAAATTTTTCTTTAAGGGCAAGACAACAGATACTGTGGGCATTGCCGCAACTGCTCATCTTAGCTATTGTGGCTCCAAAGAAGCCATAGATAGCATCCAATGAATGAATGTGGCTCTGTTCCAATAGACACCAAAATCTGAATTTTATTTAATTCTCACACATATTCTTCTACTTTTAACATCAGCTATTTAAGAATATAAAAACCATTCTTAGCTCAAGGGCTGCACAAGAACAGGCAGCAGGCTGGATGTGGATCGCAGTCTGTTTTTGTAAATATAGTCTAGAAAGACTAAAATTATTCTTGTTCTGAACCAAAAGAGTTTGTGGACTCCTGGCTTAGGGTTGAAAACTGCAGAGCTTCTGGGGGTAAAAGCCAATAACCAGAGCACCCAGCAGCCCGTGGGGTAAGGGGCAAGTGGAGTCAGCTTTCAAAGCATTAATGAAGGAGCAGAAGAAAGAAGAGTTTAGGAAGGTGCTGGAAGGTGCTGGAAGGTGCTGGCAGCACCCTCAGATGTCCCCCTGTGAGCAGGAGACTATAGCTCTGGTGCAGAGGATGTTTTCTTTTGATCCTAGTGGGATTGAAGCATAAAATATCTTGTCCATCTCATACACCTACCACCAGCAAGCCCCCCGCCCTGTCTCGCTTCGCCCTCGAATCAACTCTGCAAAAACCGTAGATGAATGTTATGGTTTGGATATGAGATGTCCCCCGAAAGCTCCTGTGTTAGTGCAGCAATGTCCAGAGGTGAAATGCTTATGGGAACTGTGATGTCACCGGTGGATTAATCCATTTGCTGGGTTCATAATTTGAATGGACTACCTGGGAGGGAACTCTAGGCAAGTGGGGGGTGGCTGGAGGAAGTAGCTCCCTGGGGGTGTGCCTGGTGCCTTGGCTGTGATCTCTCCCCACCCCCTTCCTCTCCTCCCTGGCTACCATGGGGTGAGCTGCCTTTCTCCTCCTGGCTCTTCTGCCACCATGTTCTGCCTCAGCTCAGCCCAGAGCAATGGAATGTGCGACCATGACGAAAAMCCCAAATAAACCTTTCCTCCTCCTGTAAATTGTTCTCGTTGGGTATCTTGGCCATGACAATGAAAAGCTGACTAACCCAATAAGTGTTGGAGTCCACCGCGCCTGGCTAGAATGTGCTGGAGTTGACTCRGTCCTGAGCGACCAGGAAACGCAGAGTTGCTCCCTTGGGAACAGTCACAGGTGTGGAGCAGGCATCTTTTTAAAAAAAAAAAAATTTATATTTTAATTGTAGTGGGACACAATACTCTTATTTTATTTATTTGTTTTTATGTGGTGCTGAGGATGAACCCAGGGCCTCGAACATGCTAGGCGAGCGCTCTACCACTGAGCCACAACCCCAGCCCGTAGCAGGCATCTTTTTCAGGGGTACAGACCATCAGGTGAAGGTGTGGAGTGAGGGGACCCAGACTCCCAAATGGGGAGAGAGGTCTTCAATAATTTTTTAAAAATAGGAGTTGAAAGTCAAGTCACATAAAATTAATCTTAAAGGGAAGAATTCAGTATAATTTTATCAACTCATSGTGTTATACCACCACCACCTCTATCTAGTTCTTAAATATTTTCACTGCCTAAAAAGAAAACTCCAACCCTGGGAAACCTAGACAAATGACCCCAAATCAAAATGGCTTAGGATTCCCTAAAAGTTCATCTTAGTCTTAAATTATGGACAGGATACAGAGATAACGAATAAAATGAGATGCRCTTTGGAACAAGGCACTTGATTTGAGATTCTGATTTTTTGTAAGCAGCTCTTCTCTATCACTTTCCATTTGAAAGCCAGAAGATTTCTGTGTCTTCTGTTTGAAAGCACAAACCTGTAATAGCAGAGTCACAGGAGGAATTTTGCAGACACAGTAAAAATTAAAGTGAGTTGCTCTTGCAGACATAGCTTCTATGAATAATTATTCATGATCTTTTTTGATTTTCTGGTGTAGAATTTTTTTTCTTTTGATGGCAATGAAAGAGGTTCCTTTGTTGAGACCATAATGATCAAAATGAAACCTGAAAAAWGATGGACTCATGCACTAAAGGGAAAAGTCTGAATATTTAAAATACTGAATAGCAGAAACAATAATTTTCTCAAGTTTTCAAAAATGCTATATGAAGGCGAATCCTGTGTGATWGGTTTTGATGAAAATAAGATGTTGATTTGGGAAAATTTTGACAATGCTTTCATATTTTCTGATATAGAAAGTCAAAAATTATATTCCATMTTCTAAAGAACTTYATGGCAATGCTGAACATTTTTCATATAAGTAAAAAATTATTTACTAATCTTAAAAAAAATGCCCACCAAGACTCCATCCCCATTTTCCYTGTCTCTTGAGCCACCAATCTGCTTTCTGTCGGTATAAATGGGACCACACAGTATGTAGTCTTCTATGATTTTCTTATTTCATTTCACATAATGTCTTCAAGGTTTTTCTGTGTTACAGAATGCACCAGGACACCTTKTTATGACTCAATAATATTCCATTGCTTGGATATACCACAACTCATTCATGTAGTCATCAGTCATCAGTTGGTGAACATCTGGGTTGTTTCTTTGGRCTGTTGTGTATAGTGTTGCTGTGTGCACTCATGTGGTATTTTACCAGAGTAAAACCGTGCCTAGCACAACTATTGCAGATGGAGTTGGAGAGAAATCCTGTGGTTCCCCCTCAGCAGAGGAAAGGGGGCGATCATGGTGAATCAGGGCAGCATCCCCTCGCCCGCCAGTTTCCAAGATGGATTCTCTTACACTGACCCTCTGCAAGTGGACAGCAGGGCTTCATGMAGAGGGTGTCATGTGGACAGGCAGGGGGTATATTTGGTGAGACTGAGATTCCTTAGGATTTCTAGGTCCCTTGGGCCTCCATCCACAGTGCAGGCAATGAGAAGAAGTCAAGGGGTGTGATGATGATACCAGAAAGAAACCTAGATCATTACAGAGAATGAAGAGGAATTCTGCGGTCCAGCTTCTTTAAAATGATTACATTCTGATCAGAGAACCTTTGTCCTTTTAATTCCCTGAACCTAGCAGGAGCATTTCAATATTGTTCCAGTTCCCAGAGTGGCACCTCCTGTAGTAGCTGTTTCTGGTTCTCAAACAACTTCTTCTCTCGTTCTGTGAACATAAACACTGTTCATTGGATGACCAAAGAGTACATGGCTGCAAAGTGTGTTTGCCTGTTGGACAAAGAGCTGTGCCCACACTGACCTTGGCCACAGATGGGTTTCAAGTCTATGATGCTTTCCTCTTATCTCAGTCTCTCTGGCACCTGGAACCCCTTCTCTCTCTCTCTCTCTCTCTCTCTCTCTCTCTCTCTCTCTCTCTCTCTCTCACACACACACACACACACACACACACACACACACACACACCTCTCCCAGGGCTCCTGAAGAGGCAGCTGGACATCAGGCCTGCCAACGCCAGGGTCAGTCTTTGACCTGTGCAAATAGAGTGATTTATTTGCATTTTCTGAGCCCCAAAGAAGAATGCCACATTCTTCCCATGGAAGGAGGCTGAGGGTYCTGCTGAGATTGTGTTTGGATAGGCACAAAGCCCAGGAGGAAAATGACCAAACCCGATTTGGATGAGAGGCTGCCCCTGGACCGTGGTGGTTGGGAGGAAGCTCCTGGGCGGAAGTCCCCTGGGAGCCCAGGGCACACATGGGCTGCTGCTTCCTGGTGCCTGTGTGCATCTCTGGGCAGCAGAGTCCAGGCTGTGGGACCTGGAGGTCCAGTGGAAAGAAGCCAGTCCTTGCTGGAAGGTTTGCTCCGGTCACCACCTCAGTCACTCGCCCACTGCTGACTTCCAAGACCTGAGCTACCTGCGGTCAAGTTCTGCTCTTCTGGATTCGCCAGAGCTTTTTAGAGGCGCTCTGGTGTTTTGTGACTGCTGTGGTATTTGCTGCTGCTCCAGCACTGCACACCCRGGATCGAGCAGGCTTGGGGAGCTCTGGAGACAGTCCCACTGTTGACCCACTAATGGTGCACTTTCCTGGGCAGGGTGATCATCCCCTAGCTGCTCTGGGGTGCTGTGAATGGCCCTATCTGTCCTCCCTTTCTTACAGGCATATCTCCAGAGACCACTCCCCAATAAATCCCTCCCACAAAAAAAACCTCTGTCTGAAGACACTAATTTACCCTGTCCAGTGGGGTCTGTGACCTGTTGGTCCACATTATCAGTGCAGGGTCCACAAAGGAACATCGAGACTTTTCCTGTCTCATAAGAGGTGTCAGGAAGTCCACCATCCACGTGTCTGACCCCTGGTGAGTCTTGGGAAAGGGGCTCCAATCTCCCCYACCCTTCTCCAACCTGGAAACCCCATCCAGGTTCCCCCAACCCTAAAGCCTGATGCTGGGACATACAGGCCACTGTGGGGAGCCAAGTAGCATCTTCTACTGCTATCACCAAACACCCAGGACTGGGTCATTTATCAAGAATAGCTATTGGTTTTGACTTATGGTTCTAGAGGTCCAACAGCACGGTGCCGGCATCTGCTCTGCTTCTGGGGAGGGCCGGTGCTGCTCCAGGCATGGTGGAGAAGAGGAGAAAAGGCAGCRGTTTGGGGAGAGGTCACCCGGTGAGACAGGAAGCCGGAGAAAGCCAGGCTCCCTTTATCACGACCTGCTCTTGTCTCTAACCCACTCTAGAAGGAACTTCATTAATCCCTTCTTTGAGRTAATTAAGTAATGACCAATKACTT